CCTCCTCCTCCTCCTCCTCCTCCTCCTTCTCCTCCTCCTCCTCCTCCTCCTCCTCCTCCTCCTCCTCCTCCTCCTACCACTACTACGGCTCTGACGACGACCACTACAAGTACACTAACACCACCAGCAGTACCCTAACCACTACTTACCACTACTCCTGATCCTCCTCACGGAGAAAGGCAATGAGCAGGACGGGGGGTGGAGGACCGGGCGCATGGAAGACGGAGAGGGGGCGGTTCCAGGGTCTTACAAGGAACTAACGGGTATTACGGAAGAGGGGGACAACAAGGGGGTGTGGGGGGGTCTGTGAGATTCGATGGGTGATCAAGAAGGGGATGGAGGGAGGAAGATTTTGAGTCGAATTCTGGCGTGGGGGGGACTCCAGGAGAAGAGGTGATGATCTGGAGGGCGTGAAAAAAATGCGATGGCAACTCAAAAACAGGGAGAGAGAGAGAGAGAGAGACAGAGAGAGAGAGAGGGGGAGGTAGGAGGCTTTTTGTGGCCATTGACGGCAAGCCGCAGCCCACGTACACCCAAGTGGAAGGGCGAGGCCCACGAGGGAAAAAGAGAACGATTAGTCAGAACCAGACTCGATTTCGGGAGCTGCAGCGCTGAGTTCGGAGCTAGAGGCTGCGCCAAGAAAGCGGAGAGTCGTAGCCACGACGCGCAGCTCGCGGGCATCCTCCGAATCCACCTCCGCGGGGGGGAAGAGGAGGCTCAGGAGGCAACGAAGGGGTCCTCTTCCCCCTCCTCAGAGAAAAAAAACATGGACCGACGCCAACCGTGACGCCGAGCACCTTGGGATGGCGACCTTGACATATGCGCTTCCAGGCGTGCTTCCTCACATGCGCACCGAAGCGAGGGACTGGTGCACAACCCTTGCGCAATCCACGAAACTGTCAACCACTCATGTAATATTTACAGCCGATGCAAGCCAAAAACGAAGCTGCCGTCGGACGCATCGAGAGAAAGCATCTCGTGCCCCGCGGCCGCTGGCCTAGGAGCACCATTGCCTCGGACACCCACGCCGACTCCCCCGCGGCAGACTCCAGGAGCAGCTCTGTCCGCCGACCGGGCCCCTCGGAAACAGCGCGCGCACGGCCAGAGCCGCCCCGTCCGAAGGGGGCTTGACCCACTCGACGTCAGGACCCACGCCGGGCTTTGGCGACCGAGGCAACAGGTGGGCAGCCAGCTCAGCAAGCGGGGATGGACAGACCCCCCTTTAGTAAAACGTGGTTTAGTGAAAACGACCTGAGGCCCAAACCTGGCGGGCGGAAGCCTGGAAAATAACGGCCACGGCGCCCTCTCGAAAACCGAAAACGGACAATTCACTAATCGACGTGTCACTGTTGGGGGTTCTGTCCACCCCCGAAGCAACAGCCAAGGAAACTCTACGGTTTGCCTCGACTTGCCCGGAGGCGCCCCGACCAAGCTCGGGACGCAGCCTCGACGGCAAGCTCCGCCGACCGATCGGCAGCACCATTACCTTCGCGCGGGCAACGCTGAAGAGCATCCTGCCCTCGGCCTCGGACCGGTGAGCTCTCACTGTCGACACAGAACGCTGGCGAGAAACACCTCTACAGAATGGGGCCGTTCCCGCATAGGCACGTCTCGGTGAAAATCGGTCCGTACAGAGCAACCCACGAAAGTCAACACGGTTTTGACAGTCCGGGAACAGCGCGGCTGGCCCGACCGACCACTGTTGAGAGATGCTGTAGGCAGGAACCTATGCCGCCTGCGGGGTCTGGGGCGCTGGGTCCCACACGGGGCCACGCACGCGGACCACCTCGAGACCTGTAACTCTGTGAAAAGCCGCAAGCGCCCAGCCAGCACGATTGAGTTCGGGAAAGATCCTCCTCGTACAAGACCCGCTTCCGAAAACCTCACCTGTTAACATCTGTGGCCAGATCACCTTTGACACCCTGAGCCCATTCGACCATTATACCTCCAGAACTAGCAGGCGCTGGGAGCTGGTCCACTGGATGCGGGAAATCTCCATATCATGCCAGGGCGTAGTCGGCAACAGCAGCAACCCGACGCGCACCTGGTGAAACAAGTTTAGCTCGTTCCTCCTCGACAGCCGAACATTCCCAGATTATGTGCCTTAGTGCGTCAGGGGCCTGCTTGCAAAGATCGCAAAGCTCCAAGGTGACGTAATTAGCCTGAACTGTCCGCACGGACCCTAGTGTAGATGGCATCACAAAACAAGGACCGAATGCACCCGTGCTGAATTGGGGATAACTTTTCCGACCTCTGGGAATACAAGGTGCCGCCAACACAAGCCCTAGAGGACATGTTGAGACGGGCCCCCAGGTCCCACTCCAGGCTCCGAAGGACAGCTTGTTTAAACATCATCTTGAGCAAACACGGCGAACACTCCGTAAAATCAATCACCTGACCCTGATCTGGCAAGCACTCCGCAAGCGAGGGCATACACCAGGAGATCCTCTGGCAACTCTTACGGAGGGCCATAACCGCTCCAGCATCGTCACGCCACGGCGGGGCTCACCTACGAAACTAAGCAGCCCACGCTTCTCGCAACTGGGCGAGAGGGACAGACTGAGGGTAAGTAGTAAGATGAGAAATCCGCACTTCCTCGGCTCACCGAACGATGGGGGCGACAGCGGCGAGCCAGCACGGCTCCAGATGAGCCAGAAGAAAGCAGGTCAGACTGCGAGCGCGAGCGGACGGCGTAAGCACGGCCGCGGCCTGCCTCCGAAACATGAGGGGCTCGTGGTCCGTGACACCATGGATGCCCGCCCTGAAAAGCTCAGGGGCCATGGCCAGGGAGGGAGGGAGAAGAAGGAGCAGGGGCTGCGAGGAATGATACAGGGGGAGCAGGAGGTAGGAGGCCCGAAGAGGAAGAAGCCAAGAGGTGGGATGGGCGAGGGAGGCGGCGGGATAAGGGAATGAAGCACAGGGAGGGCCTCCTGGGCGCAGGCCAGCACGTGCTCCTTCAAGAAGAGGTGCTGCCTGCGCACGTGTCGCCCCCTTCCTCTCCCGCATCCTCACACGCCATGGTTGTTACGTCGGTATCCTCCTCATCTCCCTATTCCTCATTATCCTCCTCCCCTTCCTCCTCCTCCTCCTCCTCCTCCTCCTCCTCCTCCTCCTCCTCCTCCTCCTCCTCCTCCTCCCCGCCCTCCTCCTCCTCCTCCTCCTCCTCCTCCTCCCGTCGCCTTCTCCTCATCATCCCCTTCCCCCCATCATTCTCGCCATGCTCATTGTCTCGCCATCAGGGAATGACGACTGGAGAAGTAGAGTAGAATGAGCCTCCACCTCCCTCTTCGGGAAAAGGAAAACGCGACCGCTGCCGCTATTGGCTGGACCTCTCATGAGGTGCGTCCAGCCGTGGCGACGAGAGCACCCCCCCCCGGGAGGCCCGAAAGGCGAAAACGAGGGAAGGACAGCGGCATCCATCTCTCTTCACTTTCTGACCTCTTCTCTCCCCGCAGTTTCCTGCGCACGTCCATCTGCATGCACCAGCCGCCCGCGGCGCCAGCGGAGACGGTTACGCTGGCGACGAATATGCTCATCCGCAGGGCGTCCGCCACGCCTCGCAGCAGCGCGGAGCCGAACTTCGGCGTGCCTCGGCGACGGCGACCTCGACAACGATTCATTAGTACCTGGCATTCTTCATGGCGAATCAGCAGGTTGACAAGTTGTCGCGCCCCTGTGCGGCACTCGAAAGCCAGTGGAGAGCCATCAAGGACCTTCGAAGGCCTCCAGAGGGCTCCCGAAGGCTCCATAAACCTCCTGGGGAGACGACGACGACCACAGCGGCGGAGACCATCACGACTGCCACAACGACGGACACGACGGCGACGACAACGAAGGCGCCTTCGATGAGGGGAGAAAGAAAAAGGCTGAGGAGGAGGAGCAGCTCTGACCACGATGGGAGGCAAGCGGACAAGAAGCGAGCAAGGGACCGAGACGAAGCGGCCACGAGGCACAAGAGGGGGAGAGAGGTCCGTGGTCATCTTGCCAACGCCCAGTCACCACGAAACGGTTGCCTGCCTCGTTTCTCCCTTCGGGCCATTGCCCTGGCTCGGGCACAGAGGATGCTGGCGGCAGAGATTCGAAAATGACGGCGTGCATTGACAGTAGCAAGCATCACATCTAACGCAGTACACATGCTGACGACCTGGGCCGTTTGGAGGCACCCCCGCGCCCCATAGACATAGCAAAGCGCATTATCCACAAAGCCCCAGAGGGGGGAAGAAGAGAGAGACGGCTCACAACGTCAGGAACAAGCCGTGGGCAACGGCAGGTAGTACATCACCTTACCCCCATCTACGATACCACAACACCTGCACTTTCCAATCGGGGTAGAATACCTGCCAGCAACAATTCAGCTATTGAAAATCGCTTTGGCAACGGAAGCCAAGATACACGGGGGGATCGACCTCGCAGCGACATTTAACCGAACCCCAATCAGAAATACTGGTCAGTCAGCACGTCGGCATACTTCCTCAGGCGAGCCCCCAAGAGACCATTCAACGAGCAACTGTGACTTGCTTTCAGGGCAGCGTATGCGTTGGCCCGCAATCGGGGCGCCGCCACTTCTCTCGGGACTCCAGGCACTCGCATGACCTGGTCCTCAACTCTCTTAAGGTGCTCGACGATCGAGATCTGGAAAATAGCACGGTGACGGTATGCGATACACCAATCCTCCCCATCCAGCATCTCCCCAGCCCGTACATCCACCTCCTGTATGCAATATTACGCTGGGTAACACGATAAACAACAGCATGGCAGTAAATGGTCAGATCCCTCACCTCCTGTTCAAAACCCACTGCTCAAAAGTTGCACATCAGCTGGTGTGGCATGCTATTGACCGGCCCAGCGTGCATCAACTGTGCCGCTTGGTACTCCACCCTTAGCGCCTCTGGACTAGGAGCACACAGCTGATCAACATATCTCATGACGGAAAAAATAGAAAGGTTGTACGCGAAAACATTCACGGCCAAGCTCCGCCACATCCCACAAATCTGACGGGCCCTCGCACGGAGTTTAGCACACGGCCCAAACCAGGAATATGTATCCCCGTCAGCCTGAATCCAGAACCCGACTATGTTCGTTTGTCGGACAGCTTGTGCTCCCGAGCGTTGAGGCCAGCTGACTCGAACTTACAGTGCGCGCGATCAGCGTCAACACCATCAGGGAGAATGATGGTCGTCTTCCCTGCGTGCACCACAAGGCCAGTGATAGAAACAGACCACGTGACGGCCCTGATCACGCACGGCAGCGACTCGAAAATGTCATGTGGAGAATGGCACCAATCATCGGCAGAGCATACAGCGACCATTCCGTTGACGACCGTAAATGCTGCGGGATTTTCCACATCATATATCGTAGCAGGGGTCAATAATAATAACGTACAGTAGCCCAGTTAACGGACACCCTTCCCCCCAAAGATACGACATGTCCTCACCCCCTCTAAAGCTAACGATAACCTGACCATCACAGTACACAGAGCACGAATACAGTTGATAATAGGCTCGGCCATGTTCATGTTATTCAGGATACAGTACATGTACTCATACGAGATGGACGGGAACGCAGCCTTGATATCGAAGAGTACTCCTCCAGTGGAGGCGTGCCCTGCGACAGAGTTCCACAAACGCAAGTCACAGTCCAGGGACACGATGTGGTCCAGAATCTGCCTCCCAGGGACGAATCCAGCCTGCACATGCTGAACAAGTATCGCTGCAGCCGACCGCAAGGGCCAAGAAATTGCACTAGCCACAAGTTTGTTATCCGTGTTCGACAGAACAAGCGGACGAGTACTGGCAGCAGGTCGAACCTGCCCGTATTCATAACCTGTGACCTCACCCTTCGGCAGAAACGCTGCCAGAGCGTCATTGAAACCAGGGCCAAAGAGGTGACCCGTCATGCCGTGCCGGTATAGACGGTAAAGAATCTCCTGCGACAGCCCACCACACGCCTTCCATGCAGAGTACGGGATCCCATCTAGACCAGGGCTACTGCCCTGCTTGGCTTTGACGAGCTCCAAGAACTGCTCCTCCCCCAGGACCCACTGGACCCCCCCTGGGACAGTTTCAATGAACGGGTCCAGGAACCGAAACTCATCAACGGCCACGGGCATAAACCTCGAGATCTTCTCCCAATACTCTGCAAGTTCACGGGCGCAATCGCTCACGTCCGCAAGCTGCTCCCCCTCACTGGTAACGATCTACTTCAAATACATGCGCCGATGAGCAGGGGCCCATGCCATAGCTAATTCACGAACACGGTGCACAGCGGAAGCTTTCCGCTCGGCTGAAAGAGTGGATACCCTCCCAATCTCCGGCTCCTCCTCCCTGTAGATGGCTCTCATCATCTCCACCAGCTTGCGGTTAAGTCCCTCGAAGTCCCGCCAGACGGCGGCCATCGGGTCATAGAACTCGAGAAGAGCAGGCCAGGCTCGACAGGCGCGCGCAGCAGTCTTATCTCTCCTCCCCCTGTGTGCACGGAGTAACGCTATCATCCACGAAGTTGTTCGCTCGGGATCTTCCAATATGCTCGCTAGGATTCACGTTGGACAGCAACTCGGAACAGACACCAGTTAGCGGGTTCAGGTCGAGAAGAACGGGGGTAGGGGTAGATTCTGTCTAGCCTGCCAACAGACTTGATCACATCAGTATGAACGGCGTTATGTGTATGACGGTTGATGTATCTCGATCATATGTGGAGAGAAAGGCTGCGGAGGAGGAGGAGGAAGAGGAGGAGGAGAAGCAGAGAGGGTAGGGGAGAAGGGGAAGAGGAAGAGGGAGTGAATTAGGGGGAGGAGGAGGAGGAGGAGGAGGAGGAGGAGGAGGAGGAGCGAGCACCGCGAAAACGGCTCAGCAGCTGCGCGCACTGGAGACAGCACGAGACCTGAGCCTCAGTAAATATCTACGCTCGATGCGCCAAAACACTGCGTATTCCGGGTAAAGATGCAAGGTCCAGAGCGCCTTTGGACCTCTATGCGCCTCGTTCATGGGCAGCCGCTCGATGCACCGGATGTCGAAGCCATGCTTGGAAGCAGCTGCACTGCAGCCCACGGGGAGACCCACGTGCAATACACCAGCCCAGTTCCAAGAGATTTGACAAAAAATAGCGCTGCACAAGCATGAATATGCAATCGCAGCGTGGGCCTTTCCAAACTGACGGCCCTCAACAGACGGACTTCGCGCTAGCAAACGAACTTTGACATCGTAAATGCCCAGGCGCAAAATACCTCACAACCCCAGGGCAATCGCGATTCCCCCATCCCCCTCTCCCCCTCCGGACTTTCTCACAGCCAACAAGAGGTCCCCAGGGTTGTTTTCAGGTGGCATTGGGACGGCGTGCCCATTGACGCAAAACGCTCTGGTGTATATCCTGACACTGGTGCATACCCCGCCCGGAAAAATCAGCACGACAAGCTGAATCAATAAACGAAATGACGGACCAGGTATGAATATACATCAGGATGGAAGGGGGGCAGTGCTCTATACAGCATACCGACGGGCCAGCAATGGATACACCAGAGTGGCTGGACAGGTCAATCGATACATCGCCAAGAGTAAACGCACCAATGAACTCACACGCTTGGGCACATCGTCCGCCTCAGAGCTACAATAGGATGAAAGCACTAGCAAGCGCCGCAAACCCCCCAACGTACACAAAATCAGGAGAAACGCAAGGGCGCGATCGCGCGACCGCAGACGAAATTACTTGGTGTAGTTCATAGGTCGGGATGGAGGAAATAACATGATAATAGGAATGCGTATTTAGTAACGACAAGGTAAGGGATACCAATTTGTCAAATCCCACCAGCCCTCTGGGCGTAGGTGGTTTAGGGCGTTTCCTCTTCCACCCCTCCCTCTTCCCCTTCGGGGAGGGGTTCACCTCTCCCCCTTAACCCCCTCCCCTGGACCTGGAGGGGTGCGGTCGCGGGACGTTGGAGCGTCCAAGATGGCACAAGATGGCTCCAAGAGGGCCTCAGAGAGCCCAAGATGACCTCCAAGATTGCCAAAGATACCCCAAGATGCGTCAAGATGGCTGCCAAGTTGCTCCAAGAGGCCCCAAGACCGCTTCAAGACGGCTCCGAGCGGCCACGGAGCCTCCCCAGTAGGCTGCCAAGAAGCCAAAATCCTTCAAAAACCTCCGGATAGTCAATGAAGTGTGCCGTCTCGCCTTTTCGCTTCCGATGGCCTTCCGAGGCCTTCAGGCAGCTCCAAGAGGGCCCATGAGGGCCCCAATAGTTGCCCCAGAGAGCCCGAAGACGGCCCCAAGAGCGCTCAAGAGCGCTCCAAGCGCGCTCTAAGAGGGGCCCAAGAGGTGATTTGGGGGACTCCCAAGGGGGAGGCTAATTGAAGCTTCTCCCCTATTCTATCGATCTCCTCCAAGATGGCCCCAAGAGGCGCCCAGGAGGCCCCAAGAGGCCCCAAGATGGCCCCAAGACGGCCCCAAGATGGCTCCAAGATGGCCCCAAGAGGCCCCCAGGAGGCCCCCAACAGGACCTCAAGCGGCCCCAAGAGGCCCTTCGAGGCACCCAAGACGCCCAAGAGCCCCCCAGGAGCGCCGAGAGACCCCCAAGACGTCCCAAGAGGCCTCCAAGAAGTGCCAAAGAGATATCTCAAGAGGCTCCGAGAGGCATCCAAGAGACCTCTAGCCCTTTTGCTTGCCCTCCTCCTCCTCCTGCTCCTCCTTTATCCTCCTTCTCTTCCTCCTTCTCCTCCTCCTCCTCCTCATCATCATCCTCATCCTATTCATGTTCCTTCTCCCCATTCCCTGAGCCATCCATCCAGCATCCTCCTTCTCCTCCTCCCTTCGCACGCTTCGGCCGTCCACCCCTTTGCTCCCGGATTTCACTGATCACCTCAACTCGCCTGGACATCGTTTCTGGATGGGCTGGTGGGGATACTTTTGGTCGCAGCCGCAGGCGAGAGCGCAAGCGGCGAGTCGTAAGACCGGGGCGCGGGCCTACTAATTAAAACAGGAGCAAGCTAGAGCGGCGTAACCTAAACAACTAGCTGCCTAAGCTCCGCCTCAGGTAGGCTGCAAGCTGCACTGAGAGTCACTGGTGGGGATACGCGAAGCCTCTAGATTTGACCTTAAAGAACTTGGGAAGGCCAAAACCGACGTGGTGTTTTGCACATGGGCCACCGAGATCACGAGAGTGTTGCCATGCCCGCGCGAAGTGGCTGCAGCGGTCGGTACAGGATCAGCGTCGCCAATCAAGTAGCTAGAGATGGGCACAATCTACATGATCATCACAAAACGCTGTCGCCAACATGGCAACCGTCAGGTCAAATATGAACATCGGCATGCGCAAGAGGCGCAGCGTAAGGCCCATAACTATCGCAACCAAACACCAAATACATGACGGCGGACGCAAGATGCACACCGCGGAATTCCAGATTACCATTGCCACAATCAATGTGAACATCGACGGGCTCGCGAGATGAAAACCGTGAGGCTCGTGCGCAAGACAACCGTCATAAGGCCCAGGACGACCACTACCAGGCCCGAGATGGACGCTAACAGGCGCAAAAGGGATGCAATCAGGCTCAAGAGAACCAGCGTCAGACTGAATATAAATATCGACCAGCAAAATATGAACACCATACACACAACCAGGGCCAAGATGCACACCAACAGGCTCAAGAGGAGCACCAGCTGGCGCAAAATGGGAATTGCACGACTTTGGAGGAACACCGTCAGTCCCAGGATGAACGTATGCTGCTCGAGGAGAACGACGTCAAGTGGAAAACGAACACCAGTTGCTAGACCAAGAAAGTCATCGCCCAAAACGAAAGCACCTCACAGGCGAAAGTTGTCACCAACGTCAAGATCAAACAGCCCTATCTCGGCTCCGTCCCAGTCGCACAGCCTATGGGGATTATAAGGCATATGCAATGCCATCGTCCTTCTTGACGCTCATGGTGGCACTGGAATTGGGGGGCTCAAACTCACAAAAATAAACTCCGCAGAAACTCGCCAAGGGCAAGTCGCAGAACCCGACGAAATTGCTCAATGAACGTGAGGTGCTCTCACAAGTCTGGGTTGGCATTGTTGCAAAACGGCCAGCTGCACCTTGTGGACAAATATGTTGGCCGTGCCCATGTGGTGATCTACGCTGAATACACTGCCCGATCGCTTCAAATGTTTCGCCGTCGTCTTATCGGTGGCCCTTGGTGCCTCTTGAAATTCCTCCTTCCCCTCCTCCTCTCCTCCTCTCCTGCTCCCGTTCCTTTCCTCCCCCTCGTTCTCGCCAACCTCATCTCCTTCCCCGCTCCGCCTCCTCATGCTACTCCTACTCCTATCCCAAGGGGAGGGGGGCGACGACGATGACGACGACGACGACCAGCACCGTAACGACAACGACAGACGACGACAACGACGACGACGACGACGACGACGACGACGACGACGACGACGACGACGACGACAACGACACGATGACGACGCGAATGACGGCGCAAACGACGACGCACACGACGACGAAGAGGACGACAGAGCGGACGAGGGCAGCAACGTGGACGGGGACGAAGACGAGGACGAGGACGAAGACGCGAACGACGACGACGACGACGACGACGACGACGACGACAACGACACGATGACGACGCGAACGACGGCGCAAACGACGACGCACACGACGACGAAGAGGACGGCAAAGCGGACGAGGGCAGCAACGTGGACGGGGACGAAGACGAGGACGAGGACGAAGACGCGAACGACGAAGACGACGACGACGACGACGACGACGACGACGACGACGACGACGACGGGGAGCCTGAACCGTTGGGGGCGGACAGCTCGGGCATCCCCTGTCGGGGCGACTCGGCATCGGCGACCGGCGCCGACGAAGATGGACTTGGTGCGGCGTCGGCCTGGCAGGGCGTCGATGACACCGACAACGACGACGACAAGTGCCGAAGACGTCGACGACGACGCCGACGCCGACGACAAAGAGGCGAGAGGAAGCACCAGGGGGAAAAGGAGGCGGAGGAGGAGGAGGACGAGGAGAGGATGAGGATTTTGGATTGCGCAGTTGATGAAGCACATTGCGTGTCAGCAAACTGTGGCACGCAGCTAGCAGAGACAACTTGGCACACTCAGTTAGCTGGCTGCAAAAAAATATCGAAGAACGAACACTCTCGACGGGCACCTACGGTTTCAAGACAGTCAGTGAACCAGTAAAATGTTCAACCGTGGTCGGACCGGCGGCAGCGACACAGGGCGCGGGGCGGTCCTGGACCGAAGATGGCGAAGCGACCCTGGGCACAAGGTCAAGTCAAGCGAAACTTCGAGAATGCGAGACTGCACCGCGAAATTTCAAGGCAAGCACGAGACTGCGAAACTGCGAAATTGAGCGCATCATGCTAACATGGCATCTTCTCCCGGACTGCGATCCTCCTCACCATCCTCCCCAACCTCTCCTCAACGTCTCCCTACCGGGCGGAGGGACGGGTACCTGGCGCGCGGGGAGGGAAGATCGGAGCAAGACGTGTTCTGACTTGCTCAGCAAAACTCGGCGACTTGAAGCGGTGGCCGGCTGCGACTTCGAGGAGGCTAAGGCAGGGAGGGCACCTACTGTCCAGGCACGATGCACGGGGCGCTGAGTGCAGGGCAGGGCCGCTGCTACACTGCCTCGCCTTTCTGCACTTTGAATCCCAATCCCGATCCCCCCCGCCCCCTGCTGCTACTCCTGATGCACTGGTCCAAGTCACGCCCGTCTGCTGCCAGCAAAGACGCTCACTGGTCTTAACCTTGAATGTGAGCAAATAGACCGAGCCCAAACTGTGGCTGAAGCGACCAAGGGGCGACTCGCTGTACAAGTTAACGCTTGCGTGGTTCTCTTCCTTTGAGCTCTGTCGGTTGCAGTCCGGCTCGGATCTAACGAGTGAGCCCGCCTGGCTGGGGCAGAGGGGGAGGCGAGCAAGATGGCTGAGAAAGCACAAAAGGAGGGCCCGAATCCCACGGATGCGGCAACACGGTTCCGACTAAGAGAACTAGAGCATCTGCACATTCCTGTTCCTCGGTAGCCTTACTTGATCTAGGGCCCCGTGGCTCAGCTTCGAGGTCGAACAAGTCACCGCAGCTAGGACGCGACTCCGTGGGCCCCTCGGGCTCTGGCGGCAAAAATGCGCGACGGCAGGGTCCGCGCGGACCCTGCCATAACGGGTAGCCACAAAAACCGGGCGCGGATGATTCGCCAGCCCGTAGATATGGGTCCCAGGCGACATGAAAAGCAGAAAGTGACACACGAAGCTTCTCCTCTTCCTCCCTCATATCCTCAGGCAGGGTATCTGCACCACACGATACACGCATATGATTGACTGCATCCATGATAACGTCGGCCAGAACTTGACATAGCGCAGGTGGGTACGCCATCCTTTCTGGCAGTGCGCCACTCATCTCGAGCCCTTTCGAGACCCCGCAAATACCTTGTGGGCCTCACGCCCATGCGAACACAGCCAACGCCCCAAAGTCTCTTGCAGTCGCTCGTACAGCATGCCCAGGCGCAACGCAAGAATGCAAGCAGGTGCCCTGGCAACCTGTCCGAGCTCGCAATGATCACAGTCCGTCACCGACGCGGCCGGGGAGGCCATCGCAGATCGCAAAGCAAGGCAAAGGCCAGCTGACTGCGCCCTGGCGCCATCCTGCTAGCATGGGATGTCCCATCCAACAGCTGGTGCTGACAGCCATGTGCAATAGAATTAGCTCGCCAATGGCCCCTAAAAGCCCGCTCCCAACCCTGAGTTGCTCCATCTGACGTGGTGTCAAGTTGAGCAAACCCCAGAACTCGCCATGGGATCGGAGCGGTGGGGGGCCCGCACCGCGGGCCCACTGCATGGCGGACCACGTTTCGCACGTTTCACGGGGGGGGGGGGGCCCTCCTGACAGCGCCGCGCGTTTGGCCCGGGCGCGTTCTGCCGCCCAGACCTCCAAAGACTCACGACGCATCAGATTTCAAATCCCTGGGTCGACAACGATATCGATCGATGACACTACAATCGACGTCGTAGTGGGTCTACTCCAGACACGCTTGCATGTCACCTAGCCGTCGGCGCCCGCAGCCCATGTCGAACGCGCGACACTCCGTCCGTCGGATGGCCGCAGGCAAATCCTGAGCTGCAGCGCTAGCATGCTGCTACGGTAGGAACTTTATGGTAGGATGTCGCTCGGTTTGTACAGGCGGGCATTGGGCAGGTGGCTCAGCGTCGTCCTGGGCAGACGGGGGAGGCGGCAGGGGGGCGGCGCAGGCCTCTGGCGTTCGGTAGGGGGGTCGCTTTCCAGTAGCACCCGACGAGGATAGCCCAACAGCACATAGGTCGCGATTTCGCTGGCCAACTGTGTAAGCGGCCTTCAAAACGAGTTGTGGGTATTGCGACATGTCGACTTGGTATGCGCGCGTGGGTAGAGGTCCCTGCCCTGCCTGTCATGCGAGGTCGGCAGTAGAGATGATGCGCTGGGCCGTCAATCGCAAGCACGCCGGTTAGCACGTCTCGCAGGGGATCGATCGACAAGCGGTCGATCAGGTGAGGGCGAGCATGGAACTTCAACGGGCAAAATGCGCAAACTCCATCACCGTCGGCATATTCACGCGCCAGCGTCGTCAACTGTCCGCGCACGCGAGTAACGCGCGCGCGCTGCGCGATGGCGAGCGCACACCACTCCGCACCATGGGCGCTCCACTTGCCGAGGGGGCGCAGGCGCCGGAAGAGGGGCGACTAGGCCGCGATCGTCAGTGCACACGCGCGCGGGCACTCCTGCAGGATGTACCTCTGCAGAGAAACGATCTTCCATGCGCGCTGCCAGCGGGGGCCTGGATTGGCACTGTGTGCACGCGTGTACCCCAATGCGAATGATGCGCTTCCAAGCTGGCTGGTCGCGCCGCATGGGTCCATCCCAGGGCTGGAGGTCATCGGCTGGGGGCGGGAGCTCCTGGCACTGCTTGACCGCAGCTGTAACGACGTAAGGTCCTGAATCCATTGGCCGAGGGCGGTCCGCGGTCGGGGCTGGCCGTCGGGGGCCGAAAGCCATCCGGCTGCAACTACCGAGAAAGCCAGCGGCGCAGTGACTCCAGGAGCCGTAGACGGGCCGAACGCAAATTACCTCACGCGCAGGCCTGCGAAGCCGAGCCAAGACAGGCATCGGACACATCAGACTCGTCTCCACGAAAAAGGATACTCGCGGCAGCACGGCATACCTCCGCGAACTCAATATGGGCCAGACTCGGTTCCGACGCTGCGGCGCTGGCCAGGCCCCTGCATTATATATGGATGCCCAGACATGACCAAGCTTTCGGCTAGATCTAGCCGGCGGCGAAGATCGAGACCGCGGGTCGCAAAGACGCGTCGTCGCGAGACCTGAAGAGACGCAGGCGTCACCAGTGTATCATCGCGCGATATCGGATTCACGGCGTCATCAGCGCACTAGGATCGAACGCGTAGCTGTGCATAATCGGTCCACATAGCGAGCCTGGGACGTCGGATGCCCCCCAATGCGCCCCGCTACGCCCGCGCCATGCTGCGCGCCGCGCGCTTAGCACCACCCATTTTACACATCGCAAGCGATGCTGTCTTGGATGGCCCGACGCCGAGCACGCGTCCACAACGCGCGAACGCATCCGACACAAGAACCAGAGCTCGGGCGAGAGCATCGTGAATATGTGCCGCTGGTAGTACAAGTATGATCGTGCCGTCATCATCGTAGGAGAGATCAACCAGGGGGGCGTCTGCCAGGGGCTGCGGCACATCCTGCATGGTTCCATATCAAGGCCGCGATGGGCCGACGCGTAGACAGCTGCGACAAGCATGGCGGTCCGCCTATTCGCATCTGATCACGAACCTCTGCGCACACCCAGCCATCTGCATCTCGAAGAACACCGCGTGCGTGAGGCTGGCCTGGGAAGACCAACCTCAGCGGCAACGGCACCTGTCCAGAACCTTCACAGACAAACCAGGGAGCCCAATAGCACTGTTCAGTCTGGGCCACGGCGTGGGAACCAACATCGGACCCGGTCTAGGTCGGAGGTCGCTGTCGGAGTAGCTCGGCGAGTTGGCGCATGGCCGCGGGGGGCAGGCCTGCCGCGCGAAAGATCGCAGTGAGCGCTAGGTCGCTGAAGTCGATTTCCCAATGGGCGTGCACCACAACCTCCAGAATGGCCCTGGAGAAGGCCTGCACGACGTCCAAGAACAATGCCCCAAAGGACATCTTGCGACTCTCAGCTAGCGACTGCGCCACGCGCAGCACGAGGGAAACACAAGTGGCAACTCTCCTGGGAGCTAGCTAAGCTGGATCTCGCCCGCTTCGGAAGCCAGGAAAGGCAGTATCCGGGGCCGAAAGTATCATCAAAAGGCCTTCGTCCGCCGACACACTGGGTCGGATCGGCCTGTCCTGATCTGATGAGGCCCCGGTAAAACCGCCTTTCCATTGGACCAGCTCCACCGAGGCAAAGACAAACTTGAGCTGACGCGGGCAATGGAACTCAGCGACGGCGGCGGAATGAGCCCCAAGAGGCCCCAAGGAGTACCATCACATCCAGGAGCAGACTTTCGGGCTTGTCGGCGAAACCACTGAACTTCAGCCAGCGACGGGATAGATGCAAGAGAGACAGGGTCAGTCGGCATGCGCGCCTACGGCTCGCGCCCAAGGCATCCTGCAAACGCTGGCACGTCGGAGACAGGTAGCGTGGCAGCAAGCTCTGGGTCTGCAAGATGCTGCTGACATCGTCGCGCAACCTGCTGTTCGGAAACCACTGCCAGTCCTGCCAAATCCCCCAGCACTGGCAGCACTCTCTCGAAACGTCGTCTTAGGGCGGCGTAAATTTCAGCAACCTGACGCCTGCCCCAAGCGGTCCAAAACCCCGAGCGATGCCAGGCCGAATCTTGCCCCGTGGATTGCTGCACCACTATGTGGCAGCTTTCAGGAGCACTAGACTGGTTGCCCACGAAAGCCGAGCCATGCATGGTAAAACCGCAGTATCATAGGTTGCTGGAAGGGATGCCCAGCAGGGACCGCGGAAAGCTCACGTTCCTGACGCGGTGTCGGTGCCATAGGTACATCATCTTGCTAGTCTGCATATGTCGGCGTCAGCCGCGTCGCCTCCAACTGCTCAAGCAACGTTTTGGTCCGTTCCAAGGCCTGCTCAAGCTGCTGCACCTGCGTCCATATCCTCTAATGTCATCCGCGCTTTGTCAGCCGCCTCTCGTGCATTCTCGAGCGTACCTTGAACTCGCTGCACAACGGCTCTCGGTCGATCACACAGTACGCCCGGCCCTCAAGCTGTGATAATCATGCAGAGCTGGACCGCGTACTCATCCTGTTGAGACTTGTGCTGCTCGGCCGTTATGCCGATGTCACTGGCGGCCTGCAGGCGCTTGCCAGTGGCGGCTGCCATCTGGCGGAGCGACCGTCTGTGGGCCGCCATGTCGCGCTCGTTGGCGGGCAGCTCGACCCAGGCTGGGTGGGCCCGCACATACAACGGCAGGGCGGGCAGGATGCCCAGCGCCGGGCAGCGGACCTCGTCGTCGCCCTCCGAGGCCTGGCCGTCGGGTTCCGCGACGATCCCGTCTTCGGCAATGCGCACGCGAGACGTCGAGCGACCAGGGCGCCTATTAGCATCATCATCATCATCATCATCATCATCAGCAGCAGCAGCATCATCATCATCATCATCATCAGCAGCATCATCGTCATTATCATCATCATCATAATAAGCATCATCATCAACATCAACATCACCATCACTGTCATCCTCAGAATCAGCATCATCATCACCATCACCAGCACCATCACCGTCACCGTCCTCCTCATCATCATCCTCATCCTCATCCTCATCATCATGATCATCATCCTCATCCTCATCCTCATCCTCATCCTCATCATCATCATCATCATCATCATCAGCAGCAGCAGCATCATCAGCATCAGCATCATCATCTCGATCATGCTGTCGGTCGCAGCGTCGTCGGCGAGATCCAGACCGGTGTCCGCCGAGCCGCTTGCCAGCCTGGGATGCACCATCCCGCGTCTTCTGCCGCTGCCCCGCTCCGCCGTTGCCATGTCCAGGCCCGCGCGGAGGAAGAGGCATGCACATCCTGCACAGCAAGTCATCGGGGCCGTTGAAGCCGTTGCACATGTCACACCACATCCTGGCGGCGGCGGGAGCACAAGGTTGGTCCAGGGAGGGGCTCGGGCACCAGGAGCTGCACCCGCCAGAAGGACCATGTCGTCCTTTCCCTTTGCCACCGCCCTTGCCGCAGTGCTGCGCCAGGCCGCCAGACTCGCCCGAGCTGGCTGTGGTGGCACGCCGGGGGCCGCGCGGCGGCTGCGACCCGCAGCGGCGCCCGAGAATCAGCTCGACGCTGGCGGGCACGGCGGTGCCAAGCGGGCTCCGCACAGCGGGCCAGGCCCGGGCCGCCCAGTCGCCTGCGTGGCGCACGGGGCGCGAGCCGGCGCGCGTGGCCGCCCGTCCGGTGGAGGCCGCTGCCTACCTGGCAGCAGCACCCAAGCATCGAGCCGGGACGGCAGCTGGAGGAGGGGGGAGGGAGGGGACGGAGGAGGAGAGGAAGGAGAAGGGGGAGGGATGGAAGGGGGAGGGAAGAGGAGGGAAGAGCAGGAGCAGGAGAAGAGGAGGGCAGCGACGAGGAATGGCAGTGACAAGGGCGAAGGGTTGGAGAAGGGAGAAGAGAGTACCCCACAACTTATCCTCCTGCCCTCCGCTCCCTTCGCCGCTGACGGCAAAGACGAGGGCGTCGATCCGTCTCGCCACCAGCTCCACGGCTACACCCCTGACGTGCCACGCCAACTCAGGCCGTCGTTCTCTTCTTCCTCTCCTCTGGAGCGCGTCAGGGCTGCGTTTGCGACATCGTGAGGGTCACGCCATCCGAAGGCGGTGTTGGGAAAGACGATCGCGACCGAGCAATGCCCAATCTAAGGAGCATGCAGATCCAATCGCTTGCGACGCAGTGTGCAGGATGTTGCCCACGCAAAGGCGAGGATGCGGGAACGATACCCAATGCGGGAAAACGCCGCACCTGAGCATTGACGCCGCGATTTCCCCTGCGTGCGGCCGTTTCGCCCAGTATCTTACACAGTTTGGTGACCTCAGGGAGCAAGAATCCCGGGCATGGGCCGGCAGCATTGATGATGATCGAGACATCCGCACAGTCGGCAAAGGTGACGCCGCCGAACAGGAATATAAACCTTGTGCAGCCTGGCTCTGCCCGCGTCCTGGACGCAGGGCGCACCCCTGACAGGGCCGCCCCTCTCTTCGGGCCGACCTCCCGGCCCCCCCCCCTCGTTCCCCCACGACGCCGACGACGACAGGGACGACAGCGGTGACGCCAACGCCGGCGGCGAAGGGCGACGGCGGCGGCGACCTCCCCTTGAAAAGTCTACCCCTTGACCTCTCCTGTAATGACCTTTGAACAGAAGTTCGAGCGGACCCAATCGTGGCGACGAGGGAAACCCCGGAGGCCCAAAAAGGCTACCAAAAGTTGGAGGCTCCCAAGGAGAGAGCATGCTTCTTCGCATGAGCTTGATGCCACTGAATAGAGAAAGGATTGGATCCATCAGTGGATCAGACTTGCGCACTGATGGACAAGCTATGAGCTATGATGCTTTCTTATTGGTGGTTGTGGGCCAACTCATGATGCCAGCCCGTGCCCCTCCCGCACCGTCTCCATGGACTTCGCATCCCCCTGTTGATGATGGGATTGGGAGACGGCCCGCCACCCCCTGCGCTGCAAGTACTGCGCAGGGCCAACGAGCTGGGAATCGGATGAGACTCTGTGGAGAGCCCCCCCGTCCCTTCCCCCTGCCATCCTCTTCCTGTTCCTGTCGGCGATGGCCCGTCCACCTCCTGGATGGGCCCCAAGAAGATCGGCGAAGACTGGGATAAAGACAAATCCGTTCGAAACCGATCCATCCAGTGCAACGTTTCACCCTGGATCCGTTTTTTGACGGTCCTGGGGGCCGAAAACGGCTCCTGGACACCGAATTACGTTACCGAGGAACCCCACATACCTATGTTATTTCCCATGTGTACCATCGGTGCTTCTGCTGCTGCTCCTCCTTCTCCTCCTCGGTGTCCTCATCCTGCTGCTGCTTCTGCTGCTGCTGCTTCTGCTGCTGCTGCTGCTGCTGCGTCTGCTGCTGCAGCTGCTGCTGCTGCTGATGCCGCTGCTGCTGCCCCACCTCCCCGTCCTCCTCCTCCTCCTCCTCCTCCTCCTCCTCCTCCTCCTCCTCCTCCTCCTCCTCCTCCTCCTCCTCCTCCTCCCTCCTCCTCCTCCCTCCTCCTCCTCCTCCTCCTCCTCCTCCTCCTCCTCCTCCTCCTCCTCCTCCTCCTCCTCCTCCTCCTCCCCTCTCTACCTCCTCCTCCTACCTCCCAGCGCACCCTGTGGCGTCGAGGACATGCCACGCCTGCCACGCCCTGGGAGCCTGCACGCATAGGGCCCCCACCCCCAGCGCACCCCCTGTGGCGTCGAGGAAATGCCACGCCTGCCACGCCCTGGGAGCCTGCAACGCATAGGGCCCCCACCCCCAGCGCACCCCTTGTGGCGTCGAGGAAATGCCACGCCTGCCACGCCCTGGGAGCCTGCAACGCATAGGGCCCCCACCCCCAGCGCACCCCCTGTGGCGTCGAGGAAATGCCACGCCTGCCACGCCCTGGGAGCCTTGCACGCATACGCCTGCCTGCATAGGGCCCCCCCCAGCGCACCCCCTGTGGCGTCGAGGAAATGCCACGCCTGCCACGCCCTGGGAGCCTACAACGCATAGGGCCCCCACCCCCAGCGCACCCCCTGTGGCGGCGAGGAAATGCCACGCCTGCCACGCCCTGGGAGCCTACAACGCATAGGGCCCCCACCCCCAGCGCACCCCCTGTGGCGATCTAAAGTGTAACGCATGCCGTGCCCTGCGCCATGGCCTGCTGAGCTGTGCTGTGCTGAGCTGAGCTGTGCTGAGCTGTGCTGAGCTGTGCTGTGCTGTATGTGTGGGGGGAGGGGAGGTGTGTGTGAGGAGACGCGGGTGCGCCGCGGCAGAGAAGAAAACCAGAACCCCACGAAACATGTGGGAAAAAACCCAACAACAAAAAACTGTCCCGAACCCAGAGCCTCGAACCTCGCCCCCCCTCCCTGCTCACAGGCACCGATGCTGGGCCACCTCAGACCCCCAGCCGGCTCCAAACCAAACATCTCCAACCTCGACCCTCGAACGATCGACGGCGCCACGGGCAGCGGCGGCAGCGGCGACGGCGGCCTGGCCCGGCTGCCAGGCGCGGGCCATGCTGCTCAGCTTCGTGCGCCCCGCCGCCGCCGGCGCAGCCGCGGCTGCAGTCGCCGCCTGGAGGAGGAGAGCAGGAGGAAATGGGAGGACCAGGAGGAGGGAGGCGGACGAGGAAAGAACAACAACTCGACATCGGGGCAAGTGTGCGAGAGACAAGAACTGACATGTGCGTGCGTGTATGTCTCTAGCTCTCTCTCTCTCTCTCTCTCTCTCTCTCTATATATGTATATATGTGTAAATGTATACTAGAACCATCGCGCGCGCTTCGCGCGCGCTCAAGTTCTAGCTAGGCTTGATAGGCTAACTCATGTAACATCATGTTGGTCGCTTCTTGCGTCCAGGGACTCCCTTGGAGGCCCTGCGCAAGCCTCGGAATCGTATAGAAGGGGAAGCGCGGAAACGCAGAAGTCATTACTTTCCTTTAGATATTGAACGATTTGGGGCCCTCAAAAGCTTCCTGGGCTCTTTTTGGGGAGGTGAGGGGGGTCTGAATTCTGGTCTGTTGTGCAAGAGCAGACCGGGGGCCAAACTTGAAGAAAAAAAGGAATTGTGGGATTCCAATGCTTAGTTCCTCGGCGCTGTTCAGCGCTGTTTTTTTGTGTGTGCCTCGCGGGTTTTGGTAGCGGGGCCCCTCAGGGTGTGGGATCTTACGGACGCCCTGGGGGTTCTGGAGGCCTCCTGGGGGCCTGAAGAGCCGTCGGAAGGGTGTCTCGGGCTGTGTGGGAGCGTGTTGGGCCGTTCTTTACGTTCTGGGGGCTCATTGGGGTAGTCTTGGGCTGTCCTTGGGCGTCTTGGGGCCCCCCCGGGAAGCCGGGAGGCGCGGTACCGGCCAGATGTCAGGGGATGCGTGGGATCTCCGAGTAGGAGTCCACTTTGAAAAAATAAAAAGGGGCTTGCAGTACTGGGCGCCTCTTCGGCAATTTTGGGGGTTTATTGGCCCGTTTTGGACCCGTCCTGGGAATCTTTTGGGCGGGCTTGGGGCGGTCTTGGACCGCCGAAAGCTCGAAAACGCGAGAAGGCCGAAAACATATGAAAACTAATGAAATCTACGATTTTGGCCTCTGCGGGTTTTCCCGGGACGCCTCTCGGACCTCTCCTGGGGCCTTCTGGGGGCCTCCTGGAGGCCTGGAGAGCCGTCGGAAGGGTGTCTCGGGCTGCGCGGGAGCGTGTTGGGCCGTTCTTTACGTTCTGGGGGCTCATTGGGGTCGTAATGGGCTATCTTTCGGCGTCTTGGGGTCTCCCCCCGGGAAGCCGGGAGGCGCGGTACCGGCCTGATGTCAGGGGATGTAGGACCCCCGAGTGGGAGTCCCACTTTGAAAGAAAAGCAAGCAATTCTGGGAATCCCACCAGCCCTTTGGGCGTGAGTGGTTTAGCGAGCTCTCTCTGTCCTCAACCCCCCTTCTTCCCCTCCGGGGAGGGGTTTACCCCTCCCCCTACCCCCTCCCCCTGGGCCTGGAGAGGGCGCCCCGCGGGTCGTTGGAGGGCTCTTTTTCGACTCCTGGGAGGGCTAAAAAACGACGACCCTCACGAGGATTCTGGCCCCGACGGGGGGACCGAGTTTAGCCCCTCTGCTCTTCTTTGAAGCCAAAATCATTGATTTTACTATGGTTTTGGCCCCATTTTGGCCTCCTGAGGGGGCCGCGCTCATCTTCCTTCATAGCAAAATCATTGATTTTACCAAGGTTTTGGGTTCATTTTGTCCTTCTCAGGGGGCAGCGCTCCTTTGCGCTTCAGAGGAGGTCGCAAGAGGCCCCAAGATGGCCCCAAGAGGCCCCCAGGAGCCTCCCAAGAGGCCTCCAAGAGGTCCCCAAGAGGCCCCCAAGAGGCCCCAAGAGCCCCCCAAGAGGCCCCCAAGAGGCCCCCTGAGGCCCCACGAGGCCCCCCAGAGGCCCCCAAGAGGCCCCCAAGAGGCCCCCAAGAGGCCCCAAGAGGCTCCAAGAGGCCCCCAAGAGGCCCCACGAGGAGCCCGAACGACTCACACCAGGACGAGGGGCCCGAACGACTCACACCACGAAGAGCCCGAACGACTCACACCACAAGGAGGGGCCCGAACGACTCACACCAGGACGAGGCGCCCGAACGACTCACACCACGAGGAGCCCGAACGACTCACACCACGACGCGGGCCCCGAACGACTCACACCACGAGGAGCCCGAACGAGTCACACCAGGAGGAGGGGCCCGAACGACTCACACCAGGATGAGGGGCCCGAACAACTCACACCACGAGAAGCCCGAACGACTCACACCAGGACGAAGAGCCCGAACGACTCACACCACGAAGAGCCCGAACGACTCACACCAGGAAGAAGGGCCCGAACGACTCACACCAGGACGAGAAACCCCAAACGACTCAAATCACGAGGAGCGCTTTCTCTCCCTCCTCCTCCGCCTCGTCCTTCTCCCGCTCCCCCCACAAGGAGGATGTACAAGGTGGCGGGAGGAAGGAGGAACAGGGGAGATATGCGGGGCCAAGCGGACGCACGCCTGAAAAACACGACTGTCGGCATGCTTCGCAAGAGTTGCTGCTGTGAGATGGGCTGGTAGGGATACGCGAAGCGTAAAGAATTCCCTCTTGTTTTTACCATCCTCAATCTTCGAGGGTTGGAAGCGGGAAAACGTGAGAAGGCGAAAAACATGAGAAAAACCATTGGGATATCAACGATGTTACACTCTTTGGGCTCTCTCGGGACGGCTCTCGCAGCTCTCTCGGGCTGTTTTTAGAGCCTCGTCGGGGTCCTTTAGGGCCTCTCAAGGATCGGGGATGTGTTGGGGGCCTCTGGGGGGTCACCGAAGCGTCTCGGAGGTCTCTGGGAGCCTCCTGTTCCCGGGCCCATCTTGGGCCTGTTCTGGGGTGGTGTGGGGCTGTCCTGGGCGTTTCTTCGGCATTATTGGAGCCTTCTTGGCCCGTCGCGGGGCCGTCCTGAAGGTCTCTTGGGTGGTCTTGGGGCGGTTTTGGGAGCCTCTTCGGCGTTCTTGGACCGTTCGAAGCCTGAAAACGCGAGAAGCCAAAAACATCGAAAATTTTCCTGGCGAAGGACCCAACCATTTGCAGTTGTGAGTACCGCCATTGTGAATATTTTCTTCGGTGGCGTTCCCTACGGGGCCAGGAATCCACGGACCGCATGAGGGGTGTGCCGAATTGCGTGGCGGGGTACACAACACGAAGGAAAACGAGTGGTCTAATTACAAGAGACTGAGCGCGGGTGAGTCTGAGTGCGAGTGAGTATGAGTGTGAATGAATCTGCGCGCGAGTGAATATATTTGCATGAATGCGGTCATGGCTACACCTAATGTGAATGTATATGGATGTGAACGGTTCGGGTACGCCTGACTCTGAACACTCGTGACACTGAGCGAGGCCGCCGCAGGGAGCTTCCCCGGGAACCCTGACGGCAGCGCCCGCATGCCGTGACGCCCATGTCGGCACGCCCATCACGAGGATCGCGCCCGCTTCCTTCCCCTCCTTTCCTCGCTCTTTGCTCGCGCACTCCAAAGCCCGAGGCTGCAGGCGCAGCACAGCGCGGAGTCCCCGCGACGCGCGCCGGTCGCCCCGGAGGGGTCCCAGCGACGCGCCCGGGTCGTCCGCTGCGCGGAGCAAAGACAGCTGGCTGGCAGGCTGACTACGGGCAAGGCTCTGGCAGCTGGGCCAAGCGACGACGGGCGAGCGAGACGCTGGGCAGAGCGCAGCACGGAGTTCCCGCGACGCGCGCTGGTCGCCCCGAGAAGGTCCCAGCAAACGCAGCCACTGGGGCCTTCGGTACTCCCTATGGGGCCACGAAACGTGTGAAGGGTGTGCCGACATGGGGGTGAAACCGCATGCGAACGCAGTCACTGGGGCCTTCGGTGGAGCTCCCTATGGGAGGGGCCACGAAACGTGCGAGGGGTGTGCCGACATGGGGGCGAAGCCGCATGCGAACGCAGCCACTGGGGCCTTCGGTGGAGTTGGAACCGCATGCGAACGCAGCCACTGGGGCCTTCGGTGGAGCTCCCTATGGGGCCACGAAACGTGTGGAATGTGTCCCGAAACTGGATTGGAACCGCATGCGAACGCAGCCACTGGGGCCTTTTGTGTGGAGCTCCCTATGGGGCCACGAAACGTGTGAGGGGTGTGCCGACATGGGGGAGAAACCGCATACGAACGCAGCCACTGGGGCCTTCGGTGAAGCTCCCTATGGGGCCACGAAACGTGTGAGGGGTGTGTCGACATGGGGGTGAAACCGCATGCGAACGCAGCCACTGTGGCCTTCGGTGGAACTCCCTATGGGGTCACGAAACGTGTGAGGGGTGTACCAAAATGGGGGGGTGGAACCGTATGCGGGCGCTGCCGCTGGAACCTTCGATCGAGCTCCCTATGGGGCCACGAAACGTGTGAGGGGTGTGCCGAAATGGGGGTGGAACCGCATGCGGGCGCTGCCGCTGGGCCTTCGGTGGAGCTCCCTATGGGGCCACGAAACGTGTGAGGGGTATGCCGACATGGGGGTGGAAGCGCATGCGGGCGCTGCCGCTGGGGCCTTCGGTGGAGCTCCCCATGGGGGCACGAAACGTGTGAGGGGTGTGCCGACATGGGAGGGAACCACTTGCGGGCGCTGCCGCTGGGGCCTTCGGTGGAACTCCCTATGGGGCCACGAAACGTGTGAGGGGTGTGCTAACATGGGGGTGGAACCGCATGCGGGCGCTGCCGCTGGGGCCTTCGGTGGGGCTCCCTACGGGGTCACGAAACGTGTGAGGGGTATGCCGAAATTGGGGTGGAACCGCATGCGGGCGCTGCCACGGGGGCCTTCGGCAAGGCTCCCTATGGGGCCACGAAAAATGTGACGGGCGTGCCGAAACGGGAGTCCATGATGGTGTTGATAACGGCGATGATGATGGTGACGATGGTGATGATGAGAATGACGATGATGCCAATGATGGAGATGACGATGATGATGATGGCGACGATGATGATGACGATGATGATGCTGATAAGGACGATAACGATGACGGTGATGATGATGATGATGATGACGATGATGACGACGATGATGATGATGATGATGATGATGATGATGATGATG